GAGCAATGATCACAGAGGTCCAAAGAATAATCTGAAATCGTCAGGTAGCAATTAGAGGTTAAAGAGAAGAGAGAGAGATGGAGGGGAAAAAAAGAGAAAACGGTTATTAGAATGCTTTTGCCTTCCTTCCTTCCTTCCTTCCTTCCTTCCTTCCTTCCTTCTTTCTTATTCTCTCCTTCCTTCCTTCCTTCCTTCCTTTTTCCTTCCTTCCTTCCTTCCTTCCTTCCTTCCTTCCTTCCTTCCTTCCTTCCTTCCTTCCTTCCTTCCTTCCTATCTTTTTACTTTCTCTCCTTCCTTCCTATTTTCCTTCCTTCTTTCCTTCCTTCCTTCCTTTCTTTCTCTTTCTTTCTTTTCTTTTTCTTTCTTTGTGGTGCAGTGCCTTTCTTTCTCAACAACACATATAGTCCTTGACTTACAATAGTACATTTAGTGACTGTTCAAAATTACAAGGGCACTGAAAAAGGTGACTTACAACCTTTTTTCACACCTACAACTTTTGCAGCATCCACACGTTCACAGGTTCAGAATTCAGATGTTTGGCAACTGACTCCTATTTACGACGGTTGCAGCGTCCCTGGGGTCGTGTGATCCCCTTTTGCATCCTTCTGATAAGCAAAGTCAACGGGGGGGGAGCCAGATTCACTTAACAACTAGTGATTCACTTAACAATTGTGACAAGAAATGTCGTAACAGGGGGCAAAACTCACTTAACAAATGTCTCACTTAACAATAGAAATTTTGTGGCCGTACATCGAGAAGCATTTTATTTTTTATAATTGTATTTTCACTTCAGCTTTTGGCTTCAGGGCGAAGCTTATTTTACATGTATTTACAGATCCCTTTCCCTTTCATTGTTGTTTGTTTTATTTTATTATTATCTACCTGGCCTTTAATTAGATATTTTTAAAAGCAGGAGAAAGATTATATATACATTCACCCACAGTAGAGTAAATAAAAAAAAAACAGTTGTTTCTTCAACCTCTGTTAGGTATGGTAACCAACCTTAGCAGGAATAAAACGCCCATGGTTGGTCCCTAAGCTTTCTATGGTAGCTAATTAATGCAACTCTTCATTAGAAGATGACCAACACCATCATTTGACTCACACACTTCAACATTTTTAGCTACTGCTAAGGAGCAGGAATTAATTAAATATTTGACAGCCTGCCTACACATTCCTTTTTCTGTATTTGCTAAATTTAACCCAGAAAAATCACCTTGCAGAATTCTGTAAAGGTCCACCTTAACAATTAAGACATTTGTGCACTGTACCATACTAGGAATGTGGTCCATTGGTCTCCAGTGAAATTTCAAACAATTTTTAACTTGTTTTAGGAAGATCAAAGCCCACAGCCCCACCTTATAATTTATTCCTATAATTCCTTGCCCAAGAATCTAATCCAGAGTGAATAAACCCATGCCTTCCTCCCCAGGAATGTTACCTAATTAAATAAATCCAGAGATACTAATCATGTGTAGCTTTCATTCAGGGATTCCGCAGTCCTAAAATCTGTGTGGCTATATGTACAAATAAAAGTAATTGTTCTGAGGTGGGGTTTTGTAACAGCACATATTCTCATGTTGAAAAAGAAGAGGAACACCTCTACACAAATAAGCAGTTGTTATCTAAAGATCTGGAAACAGACATGGAAGAATCTCAAACCTCTAGATCAGGGGTCCCCAACCCCTGGTCTGTGGACTGGTAGTGGGCTGTGGCATGCCAGCAACCAGTCCACACAAACAAGTAAAGATCTATCGACAGGATGCAGGCAGCACACAAAACCACGCACCCTCCGGTCTGCGGAAAAACCTCTCTCCATGTAACCAGTCCCTGGTGCCCAAAAAGTTCTGCTCTAGATCCCCATTTCTCAACCTTGACAACTTTAAGGAGACTTCAATTCCCAGAATTCTTCAGTCTCCCAGAATTCCCCAGGTGTCAAAAGTTACACATAAGAAGCCCACTGGTAAACTTCCAATCTCGTAGAAGACCCTTTGTCCTATTTCAGATGATTTTTTTTTTCGGGGGGGGGGGGTACTCTGAGGACTTAACTTAACTAGTGCTTAACTTATGATCACAATTGGGACCAGAATATCTGTTGCTAAGCTAAGCAACTAAAATTGAGTCGCGGCCAACTTTACAATCTTTTTTGTGACGGTTGTTAAGCAAGTCACCGCAGTTCTTAAATGAATCATATGGTTGTTTGAGCAAATCCAGCATCCAACTTGACTGCTTGTCAGAAGCTGGCTGGGAATGTGACAAATGGCAATCGCATAATCCCGGGACACTGCAACCGGCATAAATACATGTTGGTTGCCAAGCACCTGAATTTTTATCATTGATAATGGAAACCCTGCAATGGTCGTAAGTGTGAGGACCAGGTTGTAAGTCACTTTTTTCAATGCCATTGTAACTGAATGATTATTATATGAAGAATTGTAAGTTGAGACTACCTGCACAGGAGAATGTGTTTTCTCCTAGTGGGGGTGAAATTTTATGCATCATAGTCTAAAATCAGTATTTTTCAACCTTGGCAACTTTTAAGGTAAGTTAGCTCCCAGAATTCCCCAGCCAGCGTACTCCATACTGGTTAGAGAATTCTGGGAGTTGAAGTCAGCCATCTTAAAATTCCCAAGGTTAAAAAATTCCGTTAAACCGGACAGAACATCACCCTGTGAGACAGTCCTCCATCTTCTGCATAAAAACGTCTAGACAACCTCAATGGTGTGAACCAAATGAAAATTCCTTCCCCACAGGTTAAATAATTCCTATTTCTTGTGTGATTTACCAACCAAAAATGGTAACTCTAGGTGGGAATGAAACAACCCGCCACAGTCAACTCGCTACGGCCAAATCATCACAGCCAACTCACCACAGGAACAATTCAACAATTCAATTTAATTATTTAAGATATTTTTAAACATATTTTACTTTTTGTCATTCACATTTCATTTCGTCTCTCCTTCGGGATCCTTTCTTTAAGGTTTCTCTTCCAGTATTTCTTCAATATTAGTGTAACTCTTGTCCTACGGCAAATTTTCCTGTGGCGCGTTGGCCACGGCGATTTGGCTGGGGCTAGTTGTCACAGACCCACTCCAAGAACCTCAAATAAAGCCTCAGGTTTTATACATGGGAAAGAAAGAATCAGATCTCCGATCTGGCTCAAGACACTCTCCATTAAGACCTTGGACAAGCTGCTGGAAGTTTTTAAGAAGAGACTGGACAGCCATTTGTCCGAAATGGTGTAGGGTTTCCTGCCTGAGCAGGGGGTTGGACTAGATGACCTCCAAGGCCCTTTCCAACTTTACTACTACTATTATAAATGCTGTTCGCTTACCCTAGCTGCCTTTCCTGCGTTGCTTTAAGGATAAATGACAAATTGTCTCTCAGACTGGGCCAGAAAGCAACTTGAAGCCCATGATCTGTGGTAAGAGCATTGCCAGATTGACGTCAAAAATCCCCTTCAGCAAGAGATTTGTCTCTGCTCCAGCAACTTAGCATCTGGTTTAGATCCTTGTGGCACTCTGAACAGGCTGCTGGGATAAACTGCTTTGCTCAGCTATTTTCAAGCCGGTTGAGCAAGGGAGAAACCTATACACATGTCACATTAAAACGATGGTTGTAGCCCAACAGGACGAAATTGCCTGCTGGCTGGGCTCCAACACGACTTCTTTTATGGTGCAATCTTCTCCAACCTGCCAGAATTCTTGCTCATTGCTTGCCTGTTCAACCACCTTTCTGCCTTCGCGTCATTATTACGAGCCCATAGCCAATGCAAATTTTCCTGGGAAAAGCCAACGTTGCTCAGAGCAGCCCCTAACTGACAGCCATCCTTGTCACAACTTGCAAATGTTTCTTCTCAAGCATGAGAGACGCTCTCTTTTAACCTGTGAATCCCTTTTAATTTCCCATCTGGAACTTTCCAGACCCCAGAGCAGCCCACAACCACTTTCATCTCCTCTATGGAGGGAAAGCTTTTGAGTCAGCTCCGCAATCCCCATTTCAAACTCTAGAAACAACAAACGGGTCTTGTATTGCTTGCTTCAGACCCTGGAACGCTGCACAGAAGGAATCCAACTTACTGGAGAAATAGTACCTTATTTGGAGACCCACCAACCGCTCCATTCTGCCTGTGTTCCCAGGGGATGAACCCCAGACAATCTGCCCCCATTTGTCAGGAATCCAAGGTCATCATCTCTGACCCTTCCCAAGTTCTCCATGCCTGGCGTTCAACAACATCCAAAGCCAGATCCCCTCATCCCTCGGGCTGATACTGGAGATATTTCTCAGAGTATAGTAGAGCGTCCATTCAATCAATGCAATCCAATGTATTGGGGTCCAAGACCAGGACCAGATCATGAACGAATAAAATTTAACATCAAGTTAAAATACAGTTGTATAATAACCCACATCTCATAGGTGAAAGCCAGGCTATTGCCCATACAATATTAACTGATAAGGTAAACACTAAAATTATATCAAGTATGATGTCTAAAATTACAACAAAGTGAAGGTGTCCATTAATTTCAGCGAAGGGGTAATATTTAAAATGTAAATGAATTATAGTTACACGGAATGCTTTGTGGGACATTGGCCCATCGGAGCTGGATGGATCTTCTGTACAAGAGGCACTTTGTCTATATAAGCAGCATCTAGGCATACAGGCTGAATCTGGATGATCAGGAGATCATGTCCAGAGTGCATTCATTCACTCTCATCCAAGGAGAAAGCACGCAGCTACTTTCTCTTCCTGGATCCAGTTGCTCCCTTTTCCAATCCAATCAGATGCTCTCCTCCTCAACAAGGTGGTGGGGGAGCGGCTGGTGGGGGTCTCTTTCCCCGAATTACCCTTCAGAATTTTTCCTCTACCCTCCACACCCGTTTTTCCTCCACCCTCCTCCCCCTTTACTCCCTAGCTACTCCGGGCTTCTCTCTCCATCACCCTTTGTCATGGGGGGGGGGAATGTCTTATTATCCCCAGGTGGTAGGCAGCTGCCACTCACCTGGTTAGGGGGGGGCCGTTTCTTGCAATTTGCAAGCCCCCGGCGGCCAGCCGTCCTGCTGGGGGGTGCCTGCCTGCCTTCCTCCTCCTTGCTCCGAAGTGGAGCGGCTGGGCTTCTCCCACTGCTTCAGCCTGCAGTGTCAGCCTGCAGGAGCTGCCGCTCGGCTTCCTGGTGTTCAAACAAGTTTTACAACACTGCTTTGGAAAAACAAAACCGGTGACGTCACAGCGCTTGCTGGAAGGGGTTTGGAGGGGGGGGGGGAAGAAAGAACTAACTGCCCTGGACACTTTTGCTCTTAGTTGATTGGGGGCGGGGGGGGGGAAGAATGGGAAAATCCCAGTTGTGCTATGACGGGGGCGGGGGAGGGCTGTGCCCTGCCATGGGGAAGAAAAGGTGGCTTCTTTAAATGACAGCTTAGTACAGGTGGGAAATTCACAACAGGCCCGGATGAATATATAGAATATATGTGGGTATATGCAAATATATTTTTGGGGTCATATTTATGTAGTGTGACATGGGAGGTGGTGACCGTTTGGGAACTGTATGCAAGGAAATTTCATTTGTATGAAATGTTCAAAGTGACAATAAAGTGACCATTCTGTTTATTCTGTTCTGTTTGAGAGCTGTACGCAACGAAATTTCATTTCAATGTGGGGGCCGATTAGTGTACGTTCGAAGTGACAATAAAGTTGCCGTCCTATTTATTCTATTCTATTTGAGAGCTGTATGCAACAAAGTTTCATTGTAATGTATGCCGATTAGTGTACATTTAAAGTGACAATAAAGTTATTCTATTCTATGATAAGCAGGGAGAGAACTGGATGCAAAGGTTGATATTTATTTATTTATTTATTTGGCAGACGAGTTCAAATACTTCTGACTTTTTATGTCAAAGAACTAGTGGGGGGGGGAAGTGGAGGTTTCTAGATGATGCTGAACTACAACTCCCAGCATTCTGCATTCTGGGCCCTGCTGCACTGCTGGAAGATCTAGACCAGGGGTAGGCAACCTTGGCTCTTTTATGACTCGTGGACTTCAACTCCCAGAATTCCTGAGCCAGCCACGCTGAGGGAAAAGGGAGAGGTTGCCATGCTGAGCCAAGCTGGTTCAGGAATTCTGGGAGCTGAAGTCCATGAGTCATAAAAGAGCCAAGGTTGCCTACCCCTGATCTAGACCAGCCTTAGGATTCTATGATTCTGTAAGAGTCTCCTGCTTGAGCAGGGGGTTGGACTAGATCATGGCTTTTCAACCAGTGGTACGGGTAGCACCTGTGGTACATTGGCACCCGGCAGGTGGTATGCGACCATCCTAGAAAAGTGGTAGCGGGGGAGGAGAATGAGCTGAACCGGTGGCAGCACCGCACAAGCCTGAGCGAGAGATGGCTGGAGCTGCAGGGCTGTCAGGGCTCAGCTCAAGCACCAGAGCCAGGCTCCGGCTGGAGCTCAGCGCTGATCCTGGTGCTTCTGCTGAGCCCAGAAGAAGTGCCAATCAGCTGGAATGTTGCAGCCTCTCCAGGGTCTTGTGATTTACATTCAGATGCTTGGCAACTGATTCATATTTATGACGGTCACAGTGTCCCAGAGTCATGTGAAGTGACCAAAACCTGCTGTAACCACCCAGCAGACCGGGGGGGGGGGGATAAAAACCAAACACCCCCCACCCTCTGTCAATCCTCAACAGAAATGCTCACAACAATGAAAACCTCGGACAGGAGGAAGAGCGCCGCAGGGTGGGCAGGCAGGTATCTTGCTCGGCTGTGCCTTGGGGGACACTTGTTTCAGTGCCATTGTAACTTCGAAGAGTCACTAAGCAAACTGTTGTAAGTAAAGGACTACCTGTACTTCATCACTTTTTTCCTTTTTTTTTTTTTTGGGTCATCAAGTTTTTGACACCTTGCTAGGCGACAGGTGGTACTTGGATGTTGCCATATCCTAGAAGTGGTACAATGGGTGAAAAAGTTGAAAAGCCCTGGTCTAGACCAGCCTTAGGACTCTATGATTCTGTAAGAGTCTCCTACTTGAGCAGGGGGTTGGACTAGAACACCTCCCAGGTCCCTTCCAACTCTGTTATTCTGTTATAGGTTGCCCACCATGCTGGATCTAAAGCCAGGTTTATCAGGCCTGCCAGCACTTAAACCTGAGTCTAAACCGTTTTTTCAAAATTACTTTAAGAGGAGGTGAACATCAACTCCCAGAATTCCCCTGAGGACTGTGTTGTTAAGTGGATCGTGTTAAGGGAATTCGGCTTCCTCCATTGACTTTGGCGGAAGCTGGCTGGAAAGGTCACAAAAGGTGATCCTGGGATACAGCAACCGCCGTAAAAGATGTTGAGACTCTAGAAAGAGTACAGAGAAGAGCAACAAAGATGATTAGGGGACTGGAGGCTAAAACATATAAGGAACAGATGCTGGGATTGGGTATCTCTAGTTTAATGAAGAGAAGGACGAGGGGGGACATGATAGCAGTGTTCTAATATCTCAGGGGCTGCCCCAAAGAAGAGGGAGTCAAGCTATTCTCTAAGGCACCTGAAGGCAGGACAAGAAGCAACGGATGGAAACTAATCAAGGAGAGAAGCAACCTAGAACTAAGGAGAAACTTCCTGACAGTGAGAACAATTAACCAGTGGAACAACCTGCCTCCAGAAGCAGTGAATGCTCCAACACTGGAAGCTTTTAAGAAGAGACTGGACAGCCATTTGTACGAAATAGTGTAGGGTTTCCTGCCTGAGCAGGGGGTTGGACTAGATGACCTCCAAGGTCCCTTCCAACTTTACTACTATTACTATTACTAAACCATGACAGTTGCCAAGTTACGTGATTGAGGGGATGCTGGGACAGTCGTAAGTGCAAGGACCAGTCATAAGTCACTGTTTCCAGTGCCGTTGCAACTTTGGTTAGTAAACAAATGTTTGTAACCTACCTGTAGTTACATTTGCAGGAAGAATAGCAGAAAGAGGGAACTCCCTCATGTCCGTTTCTCCATTCAAGTGGCTTCTTTTTCCCCACAACTGGTAGCCATCATTGCTACTTAATAATTATATATTATTTGTGCCTTAATAATAGAGGAAATGGCTATTTATGCTACCATGTAATAAATACCTGTGGAGGCAGGCAAGGAGGTGGCAGGAAAAGTGACTCCACCCTGCAAATCTTAACTGATTCTTTTTGTTGTTGTTCTGTGTTGTTGTTGTTCTTGTTGACCACAGAATCAGCCAGATGTTTAGATTCGATTTGGCATTTTTATCCACCTAACAAGTACTTCCCAAAGATCTGGTATATTATGATTCTCCTAAATTGCCTTAACATCTCACAGCTCAAGGATTTTTACCTTGCTCCAGTGTTCTTCAAACTTCAACTCCCAGAATTCCCCAGCCAGCATTCCTTCTGCTTCTTTTATACAATCAAGGCAAGATTATTATTTTTTTCACCACATAACCTTTCCAAGGATTGAGATGTCATTTCTCTTATATCTCTTAATGGAAATATAGATATAGGAAAGGTAGAATTAAGCTTCATTGTTCTACTACAGCATTTTTCAACCTTGGGCACTTTAAGTTGGGTGGACTTCACCTCCCAGAATTCCCCAGCCAGCATAGCAATTCTGGGAGTTGAAGTCCACCCATTTTAAAGTAACCAAGGTTGAAAAATGCTGTAGTACAGTGTTTCCCAAACTTGACAATTTTAAGGCATGTGGACTTCAACTCCCAGAATTCGTTGCTGGCTGTGGAATTCTGGGAGTTGAAGTCCACATGCCTTAAAATTGTCAAGTTTGGGAAACACTGCTGTAGTAGAACAATGAAGCTTAATTCTAACTTTCCTATATAGAGTCTGCTGTGCCTTGAAGGTCTGACTAAACAAAACAATACCACAATAACAGCATGATTACATCCAACAACAATCTAACCTAATCCACACAACTACTGTTATGTTACCAAAAAGCCCCATCAAAGGGGTTATCTACCTACCAGATACATCCTCAAAGACCTGCAAAATTCAGGACCAAACAAATTGTTGATGTTCCCGAGAGCCTATTATTTTATGTTAGATTCTCTTTTGGAAACACACACACCCATGAGATCACGCCAGGAAAAGCTGAATAAATTTAATTGACGGTATCTCTGTGTCTGTTTGTGCAAGTCATCATTTGTTCTGAAAGAAAGGGAAACCTATCTCTTAAACCTCAAATCATAACTATGTTTATCCGTTTCCTGTTAACATGCCTTTCTGCGTGATGCAACTTTTTGCCAAGAGCTAAGCAGACTGAAATAATATTTGCTCTTGGTTTGGCACTCGGGAGAACCAGCCCTAAATGAGATTAAACAATGAGGAAGGAAGAGGTATTTCACTACCAATTATGAAGAGGAGAGAAGGGTAGTATAGGTAATCCTCGATTTACGACCAGAATTGAACAGTTATTAAGCGAACTTTGCCCCCTTTTACGACCTTTCTTGCCACAGTTGTGAAGTGATTCACTGCAGTTGTTAAGTTAATCTGAACTTTGTCCGAAATGGTATAGGGCTGTGGTGGCGAACCTAGGGCACGGGTGCCAGAGGCGGCACTCAGAGCCCTCTCTGTGGGCACGCGCGCCGTTGCCCCAGTCCTAGGCCTTCAGCTGGGTTTTATAAAACCTTTTCGCTTTAGGCCTCCACAGCCGTGTACAAAAAAAAAAAAAAAGGTTCAATCAATCAATCAATTTCAACTTCTCACGAAAAAAAAAGATCTCGCAAAGTTGGAACTGATTGATTGAACTTTTTAGTTCCACCCTGTCTGCCACGCCCACCCAATGGGCCACACTCACCCAATGGGCCACACCCACCCAGCACCCGATGATACATGTGGGTTTTGGATTGCAGTTTGGGCACTTGATCTCTAAAAGGTTCTCCATCACTGGTATAGGGTTTCCTGCCTGAGCAGGGGGTTGGACTAGATGACCTCCAAGGTCCCTTCCAACTTTATTATTATTATTTTAGTAGTAGTAGTAGTAGTAGTAATAGTAGTAGTAGTAGTAGTAACACAGTTGTTAAGTAAATCTGGCTTCCCCATTGACTTTGCTTGTCAGAAGGTCACAAAAGGGGATCACCCCGGGATGCTGCAACCGTCATAAATATGAGTTAGTTGTCAAGCCTCTGAATTTTAGATCATGGGGATGCTGCAATGGTCGTAAGTGTGAAAAAC